GGTGCTGGAGAAGAGTCTTAAATGTACCAGGTACTGCCATGAAAACAAATAGTCTTTCTTGGAGAGGGGAAAACCATATTTCTCCTTGGAGGCCAGGATTTTGAACTCCATCTCACATACGTTGAGCACATGGCCAGGAGGGACCTTGGAGAAGGACATAATGCTTTGAGGGTGGAGGATAGCACAGGAGAAGAGGAAGACCCCAAATGAGATGAATCAGTACAGTAACTAGGGCAATTGGGATAGGTGTGTTGGAATCAGTGAGACTGGCTCAGGACAGGGAAGGCTTCAGAACTGCTGTACATAGGGTTGCTCTGAGTCATGGGATTTGACAGCACACAACAACAATAATGTTATATATCACACACATTTTTCCCAATTTATTGCTAATAAATTATTACATTATTACTAGCTTTGTTAGGTTACTTGAGATATACAGACACTTTAAAAAATTGTTTCTGTTTTTGAGAATAAACACAACAGAATATACACCAGTTACACAGTTTTTACTTTTATTAATGACATTGGTTGCATCCCTAGAGTTGTACAACTATTCTATCCTCCTTTTCTAAGTTGCCCATCCTCCATAAACTCACTGCTCCCTAGTTTCCTATTTGAGTTGTTATTGTCAGTCTGATCCCCTTGTAAGCTCTCTGCCCTTGATTCTGACTCTCACTGACTGTCAGGTTTCTGGGTCTGTCAATCTTTACAGGAGGGAATTACCTCATCTTTCTCCTGTATAGCCGCTGGTGATTTGAACTGCAGACCTTTGAATTTAGCAGCCTAGTAACATATGAGCAAGAGCCTATGTTGATAAAGGAGGAAGTTCAAGTTGCTATGAAGGAATTGGCAAAAAGAAGGCTTCCGGAGTTGACAGCATACCAACTGATTTATTTCAACAAACAGATGCTGCCCTGGATGTACTCACTAAGCTGTGCCAGGAAATCTGGAGAACAGCCAGCTGGCCAACTGACTGGAGGAGATTTATATTTGTTCCCATTCCAAAGAAAGGTGACCCAACAGAGTGGACATTATCGAACAATATCATCACATGCAAGCAAGATTCTGCTGAAAATTATCCAAAAACGTGTGGAACAATATGTCAACAGAGAACTGCCAGATGTGTGCAGGCTGGATTTAGAAGAGGTTGTGGTACTAGGGATATTAAAACTAATGTTAGATAGATGAACCTTGGCAGAAAGCAGAGAATACCAGAAGAATGTCTATCTGTGCTTCATTGACTATGCAAAGGCTTTTGACTGTGTGGATCAGAACAAGCTATGGCTGACTCTAAGAAGAATGGGAATCCCGGAACATTTGATTGTGCTAATGCGAAACCTACACTTGGACCAAGAGGCAGTCGTCAGAACAGAGCAGGGAGACACTGGATGGTTCAAAATCAAGAAAGGGGTCCATCAGGGATGTATTTTGTCTCCATACCTTTTCAATCTGTGTGCAGAACAGATTATCTGAGATGCTGGGCTGTACGAGGAGAATGTGGCATCAAGATTGGTGGAAGGGTCATCAACAACCTGCGTTATGCAGATGACACAACGCTGCTTGCTGAAACTGAGGAGGAACTGAAGCGCTTGCTGCAGAAAGTCAAGAACTGCAGTCTTCAATGTAGATTGAAGCGCAATATCAAGAAAAAAAGATTCTCACCACTGGGCCGTTTGGCAGCATCAGTATGGATGGTGAAGAGACTGAGATAAGTAACAGTTTACAGTTTTAGTTTGCTTGGTTCCACAGTCAATACTCTTGGTAGCAGCAGCCAGGAAATCAGGAGACAAATTGTATTGGGAAAATCAGCTGTGAGGTATCTCTCAAGAGTACTGAAGAGCAACAATGTCAGGCTGGAGACTAAAGTGTGCCTGATTCAGGCTATAGTCTTTGCAATTACATGCTATGCATCGGCGAGATGGACAGTGAATAAGGATGATAGAAGGAGAATTGATGCCTTTGAGCTGTGGTGCTGGAGAAGAGTGTTGAATATACCACGGACAGCTAGGAGAACAAACAGGTTTGTCCTAGAGAGGGTGAAGCCAGAATGCTCCTTGGAGTCAAGGATTCTTAAGCTTCGTCTGACATACTTTGGGCATGTTGCAAGGAGGGACTGGTCTTTGGAGAGGGACACCATGTTTGGGAGAGTGGAGGGACAGCGCAGGAGAGGAAGACCTTCAATGAGATGATCAATTCTGTGACTGGAGCAGTGGGAATGAGTGTTTTTGAGATGGCAAGGTTGGCACAGGATAGAATGGCATTTAGGGCTCTTGTACATAGGGTCGCTACGAGTTACAAGCGACTCAATGGCATATAACAACAACAACAACAAGTAATGCATTATGCCATCAGGGCTACATTTGTTCCCCAAATTAAAAAAAAAAAAGGCAGACCAACTGCCCTTGAGTTGATTGGCTTCTGGGGCTATAAGTCTTTATGGGTAGAGACTGCCCATTTCTCTCCTGCAGTATAGCTGGTGGTTTCCAAGTGCTGACTTTAGTCAACAGTGCAGTGTAACTCAGCACAGTACCAAAGTTCCTTAGAAATAGATCTTAAAAGAGTACAGTGCTCAAGGCAGACAAAGGATCTATCTTTTGACTCACCACTTTTTATTGTATAGCACTGTGGGCCCTTTTCAAATCCCTAAAGAAACTGGCTTTCTCCAAACTACTGCATTATTTTGGCTTACAAATCTTTAAGCTCTTTATTATGTCATTCACAAATCTGGTCCAAGTTTAGTCTTGCTTGTAGTTTTTCTGTACTCAGAATATAAGGAGAGAAGTAGCAGAAATCACCGAGACTGTGGTGAGCATCTGGAAAAGCATAGTCTCACACTTCGGTCACATTAATTTATGAAATATTGACTAGAGTGGCCTGGCAGCAGAGTGATTTAAGCATTGGCAGTTCACATCCAAGGGGAAAAGATGAGGTACTCTGGTCTCATCAAGATCTACAGCCTTGAAATCTTAAGGGACAGCTTTTCTCTGTAGGATCTGTAAGCTCTTTACACTGTTGACAGGGAACAAGGAAATGAATATTACATTTCTTTTTCCAATGTTGGTAGTTTTTTTAGGTCCCAGAGCCAGTGACCCATGGCTTAGTAGTAAAGCTTCCTAAATATCTACTGTGAACTCATGCAGCCCTCTGCTGGTTTATGGACGTTGCAGCCATTTAAAACCCTAAAACAATGATTGTAGAATGGTTCCTCACCAGGCAGTGTTATCATTCTGGGGTATATAAATTGTATGTAAATCAGAATCAACTCAACAGTACCTAACAACAAAAGCTAACCTCTAAAGAACTAGAAAAAAGTCAGACACTTGCCATGACTAAAAATTGCACTGTTAAAATATATATACCAGCCACTTTGTAAGAGAAAAGACCTGGTGCTAGATTGTACTATGACTCATAGTGACTCTATGAACAACGGATCTGAACCTTGGAATATCTTGGACCATTCTCACTAGCTCTTACATGCTTGAGACCCTTGTTACAGTCATTAGTCAGTGCATCCTGTGGAGGATCTTTGTCTCTTTCTCTGACCCTCCACCTTTCCAGGCATGATGTCTTTTTCCAGGGACTGGTCCCTCTTGGCAACATGCTCAAAATATATGAGAGGAAGTTTCACCACCCTTCCTTCTAAAAAGCACTCTAATTGAACTTCTTCCAAGACATACTTGTTTGTTCCTTTGGGAATTCATTGGATATTTAGTACTCTTCCCCAGTATTACAGTTGAAAGACATCGATTCTTCTTCAGTTCATATTCATTGTCCAACTTTTCAGATGCATAGGAAGCAATTGAAAATTGCTTGGATCAGATGTACCTTAGTCTTTAAACTGACATCCTTGCTCCTTAGTACTTTGGAGATGTCCTTGACAGGAGATTTTCCCAGTGCAACATATATTCTTATTTCATTACTGCTGTTTGCAAGAGTGTTGATTGTGGGTCTAATGAAAATGAACTCTGACACTTCTGTCTTTTGTCCATCTATCAGAATATTGCTTAATAGTCCACTGGTGAGCTTCAGAATCCTTGCCTCCAAGGACCAGACTGGCATCACCCTCTCTAGGATGAACTTGTTTGTTCTCCTAGCAGTCCATGGTATATACAATACTATTCTCCAATACCAAAGCTCAAAGGCATCGACACTCTTTATATCATCCCTAGTCATTTGTTCAGCTCTCTGATGCATAGCATGTAATTGCAAAGACCATGTTCTAGATCAGGCACACCTTAGTTACCAGGCTGACGTTGTTGCCCTTCAGTACTTTGGAGAGGTCTCTGATAGCAGACTTTTCCTACACAATTCATCTTTTAATTTTCTGGTTGCTGGTACCAAGAGTTTTTGACTGTAGAGCCAAGGACGCTGAAGGTGTCAACAGTCTCAATATTTTCATCATCCATCATGATGATGCCAGTTGGCTCAGTGGTGAGAATCTTTGTTTTCTTGATGTTGAGCTTCAATCCATATTGAAGGTTACAGTCCCTGACCTTCTGCAGCAAGTGCTTCAGATCCTCCTCAGTTTCAGCAAGCTGTGTTGTATCATCTGCATAACGCAGATTGTTGATGAGTCTACCTCCAATCTTGATCCCACATTTCTCCTCATAGAGCCCAGCCTACCGGATAATCTGTTCCACATATAGATTGAAAAGATACGGAGACAGGGCACATCCCTGATGCACATCCTTCCCAGTTTTGAACCATGCAGTGTTTCCTTGCTCTGTTCTGATGACTGCCTCTTGGTCCAGGTAAAGGTTTCACATAAGTAAAATAAAGTGGTCTGGGATCCCCATTTTTCTCAGAGTCAGTCACAGTTTGTTGTGATCCACACAGTCAAATGCCTTTGCATACTCAGTGAAACAGAGAGAGACATTCCTCTGGTATGTACACATACAATAACTCTTATATAATTTTTTTATTGACTTTCTTTTTTTTTTCACACAGGTCCAGGATGAGAAGATTGATAAAAGAAACAGCTAGCTGAGCACAGCTGTAAGATGCCCAAATCTGGGTTCACAAAATCAGTTCATAGTGAAAATTCTGACAGTGACAGCAATATGGTAGAAAAACCATGTGGAAGAAAGGTATGTGATCATGCTGAAGATTTGTTGACTTTTGGAACTGAGGATGGTGTGGCAGCTATCATTTTGTTGTTGTTATGTGTCATCGAGTTGCTTGCGACTTATAGCGACCCTATGTACATCAGCCCTAAACTCTGCTCTATCCTGTGCTAATTACACTGCCTCTGACACATCCATCATTTTGGGATGTTTAATAATTAGTTAGCTATGATGGCCTAGAGGTAAAAAGATGCACTGCAATCCTGAAGACACATAGTCTAAATCCACCAGCTGTCCCTTGGGAGAAGGATGAGCATTCTCCTTTCATGCAGTTAATTGTCTTTGAAAACTTCCTAGCGGATCAATTCTGGGTCACTTCTGACTCAATGGCACAAAAACAACAATAACAGTAATTACTTTAAATTAAAAGTAATATGGATACTATACTTATTCTAGACAAGTCTCTTAGAAATGAATTGTCTTCTTGGGGCTAATAGTCTTTTCCCTTTTTTTTATTTTAAGGTAATATAATTATGAAATCATACATAAGCATTGAGAGAGCAAACAAATTATTAAAATCTCACACTTCCTAGACGTATCTTCCACCAGCCCGTTATCCTTGCAAAGCACATCTGCAGAAACACACTGTTGTAGTTGAGTGCTATCAACTCAACAGCAGTTCATAGTGATGCTATTGAATAGCCTGTCTGAACCTTTTCGTAGCCTCTACCATTCTCATCATCTTAGGCATACTTGTTACCGCTTCAGTCCATCTTGTGCTAACGCCGACCCTCTACCTTTCGAAGCATCATATCTTTTACCAAGGGCTGATCCCTCCTAAAAGCATGTCCAAAGTGTGTGAAGAGAAGTTTCTCTAAACTTGCTTCCAAATCACTGTTCAGGACACACTGGTTTATTCTTTTAGCCATCCATGGGATATTCAGTAGTCTTCTCCAACACCACAACTCAAAGCCATCTATTCTTTTTCTGTCATCCTTAGTCATTGTCCAACTTCCATATGCATAGCAAGTAATTGAAAAGACCATGGCCTGACTCTGACACACCCTTGTTTTAAAATAATCATCATTGTTCTTCAGCACCTTGGAGAGGTCTGTGACAGCATATTTTCCCAATACAGCCATCTTTTGATTTCTTGACTTCTAGTGCCAGGGGTGTTGATTGTGGATCCAAGTAAAGTGAAATCACTGACAGCATCAAATATTTTCTCTGTAACTATTGGCATGTTGGTGAGAATTTTTTTTCTCAATGTTGAGATGTAATCCACAGATGCTCCTGTTTATGTAATTTGTTCAGTTGACTGTTTATATACTCCCTTTACTTGTCTCTCACACTGGTTTTTGTTTCGCAGTCTGTTTTATCAGAAAGCAGTAGTGCCATTCCTTCCCTTTTTTAATTGTTGTCAGTTTGGTGTTTTTTTTTTCACCCTGTGAGTTTAGTCTGTCTTGGTCCTTGTGTCTCTTTTAGGCAACATATTAAGAGTTAAATTTTCTTACCTACCTATTCTGTTATTCTTTTTGTCTTAACTGATGCATTTAATCCATTCACATTAAGTGTGTGTGGGTTTATTGCTCTTATTTCTTTGTTCTATCTTCTTTTCTGTATTAAGTTAATTTTGTTTATGGTTTTTTCATTGCTATTGTTTCAGTGTTTACTAAGTACTTTATTCTTTTTCATTTTGATGAGAAAGTTTATTAATTTTCTAGTTGTTGTTGTTCTGTGCATAACAAACCTAAGCCCTGCTCTATCCTGTGCCAATCTTACTGTCTCTGACATAGCTATCCCCATTAGCCCAGTCACTGAATCAATCCATTTCATCAAGGGTCTTCTTCTCCTGCACTGTCCCGCCCCCTCACAAGCATGATGTCCCTCTCCAAGGACAGATCCTGCCTTGCAACATGTCCAGAGTATGTCAGATGGAGCTTCCGAATCCTTGTCTCTAAGGAGCAGCCTGGCTTCAATCATCCAATAAATGACTATTTTATTTCCAAGCCTAAGATCCTGGCAGAAAGTACAGAGTACCAGAGGAATGTCTATTTGTGTTTCACTGACTATGCGAAGACTTTTGACTGTGTAGATCACAACAAACTGTGGCTGACTCTGAGAAGAATGGGAATCCCAGAACATTTGATTGTGCTTATGTGAAACCTATACTTGAAC